GGGTCTGCTTGGGGTGGTTGCCCCCTTCCCCCCCTATTACGTGGGTCACCCCTGCGTGTTTGGGTAAGGAAGTCACGGGGGGTACCATGGGGGGGGGTCGGTGAACCGAGAACTGGGATCATAAAGATGCTCACCCACCCCCGCGGTTGACAGACCGCTGTACACATTCAGTGTGTTCCTGGCAAGTGACTCTGCTGATTAAGACACATTCGTGATTGCAGCCACATTGAGTATCTCACGGCTTCAGGTACCAATAGCATTAGTAACATTAATACTCCCACGAATACTAATATCATACTCACACGAAGACTAAATACTTATACTAATACGAAACTACCCCTAATACTAAGATTAATATCCCTACGACGATTGATACTCAAGCTTGAAAATATGTTTTCAAGTCTGGAAGTTTGTACTACTCATGATACTATTATTGATATCGAATTGAAGATTAATACTCCTGCGAACACTACTACTCATAGTAACAGTGATACTAGAACTAAAATTCTTATCAATATTACTGCTACTGCTAATACTAATAGTACGAATATTCCTGCAGATACGAATCATCACATTTATATTAATATTAGTGCTGATACTGTTATTAATACTAATGCCAGTATTTAGACTAATATCAATAGTAATATAAATATTAATACTCCTACGAGTACTAATACGCATACTCTCATGGCTGTTAATGACACGCTTTTGCCACTTTTACCAATACTACTAAGTCTGATACGAATACGACAATACGAATACGAATATTAACATTAACATTCATATTCATATTGATATTAAAATGTCTGGCAGAACCAATGCTAATACATACCTGCCCTTACTCATGTATATGTACACATGTATATATGTATGTATATATATATATATATGTACAGATGTATATCAATATACATACCGCTATATTAAAATCCAAATACATCAATGCATTCATGTACTGATACATTAGTACTTTTCACATACCCTTATACCAATAGGACAATATGCTACTAATGTATGAATATACTAATATACTACTATGCTAATATACTAATATACCAATACTGTAATATACTAGTATACTGGTATACTAATGTACTACCATAACCACATATTGATTTACTTATAAACTGCTAGATCAATATACGAATATAATCGTCTACACGTATACTAGTATACTGATATACCAAAATATTAATATGCGAATCTACCGGTATACTAATATGCCAGTATATGCCAATATACTAATGTACTCATGCACCGATGAACTGTTATATTAGTATACTAGTATATAAGTATACAGATATACTATTATACTTATATATTCATGTATTCATCTGTTACTCTGTTAATGTACTAGTCTATTAGTATACTAACATATTAACACTAATTCGAATATGAATACTCGTACTAGTGCTTCTGCGAATATTAACACCGATGTTTATAGCAGAATTAAGACTGATACTAATACTAATACTAGTATTAATACTAACACTGACATTGACACTGGCACTAACACTCACACGAACACTAACGCTAGTTTGTACTTACTATTATTGATATTGATACCTTTACTAAATACAAAACACTAATGCTAACACTAATACTAAACGAGTATAAGTACTAACATAGTACTACCACAACACTAGTACTAATAGTAACAATACTACTAGTTTTAAGACTAGCAATAGTAGTCGTACTAAGATTACAGGTAAGAACAAGGCTGAGTCAAGACTATGACTACGACTGATACCCAGATTAGGTTTAGGAGCATTGCATGCACGTGTAGAGATTTCCAAAAAAATGCAACTAAGTTTACACATTCCAAAAAAAATAATGGGAATTTCGAAAGTTCTAAACATTCCAAAAAATCCAAAGTTTCCAAAATTTCCAAAGCTCCAAAATTTCCAAAAATTCCCGAAAATTCCAATTCCAAAATTTCCAAAAGTCTAGACCCTCTTTTCAGAGTCGGTCCTTAACATTAGGGGAGCATTTTGGAAATTCTGGAAATTTTGGAATTTGTTGAAATTCTGGAAATCTAGGGTGAGGAGTTTTGGAAATTTTGGAAAGTTCGGACTTGCTTTTCGAAGAGGTGATTGTCACCCATCCGTTACAGATCATGCCTGATTAAAGTCTGTCAAAGGTGGGGCGACCATATATATACATATGTATGTATGTATATATATATATATGTGCACTAATGAACTAAAGTATGTAATACAATATAGCATTGCAGTAGATACCAGCAATATATTTATCATATGTATAAATAGTTGCAGACAGCTCAGGCCATGACAGTCAAGAACAGGCTCGGTCAAGCTTGCACGCGTCGCCCTGCAAGGCTCCGCTAAGAACCGTGCTGGGCTCTAGAGTTTAGGCTTTACTTACAGGATCCTTCACTGGGGGTTAACGTAGTTCTAAGTATAGTTACCCTTTGTTTAAGGCCTAACTCCTAAACCCTAAATCTAGGCTTTAGGGTCCAGGGCTTCGGCTTCAGCGACTCACGGCTCCCAGGGTTTAGGGTTCAGGGCTGGCTTCGCGAAGCGAGTGCTGGGGCCGTGGCAAAAAGGTCGTCTTCAAAGCATCATGTGCTTTGATGCGTGTGGCAACGTCCTGAAGCTGGTGGGAAAAGGTTTCCCGACATCTCGAAATCCTAAACCCAACCACCAGGAATCCTTGCAGACAAGACCGTTGATCATGTTGCGGCAGTTCTCACTGATGTGGTCAAAGCACCGATAGGCCATGTTCACCTGTCATGCGAGCTAAAACCGGTGCAAGGGCAAATCAAGCGAGAGGTCCAGAAAAGAAGCGCCAAAAGGATCCTTGACAACGCGTCGCCAGAAATGCCCATAACATGGAAAAGATGAAGAATAACAATGGCAACATCATTACCAGCATAGTCACAGTAAGCAACAATCAGAACAGCGGGAGGAATGCTAAGAATAACCATGTTTGTCTTACTGGCATGGCTACCATTGCAACTAAGTGTAGACCATTGCGGCCTTCCCTTCCATCGTCTTCTCGATGGTCATGGCAGGCGTGGGCGCCAGGAAGGGCGTGGACTTCGAGAGCATGAAGTATAGCACGATACCTGCCCCGAACTCCTCGGATATCGTGGCGCGGCAGATGGGCACCGCCTATTCTCGTATTATCGCATACCGTTGTAAAATGGACAGCCAAGCTGCATCACCTTCGAAACCCGTTGCCGTGCCCGCCAACATCTCGGGTGCAGCATAGCCGACTGTTCCAACCTCACAGCGGCCCAGCGCAACCCCCCACAATCGACAACACAATCAAAACAAGAACATGGGCGCTGTAGTTATGCTGTGGGCGGCTGTCACCTGCTCTCGAACCGCCAGTGGTAGAACTGTTCGCTGCCTGAGGCTGCCACCTTGCGCTTCAACTCGGTCTCGTTCGTGACCAGGCACGCAATCCCGAAATCTGTCAAGACCTTGAACTATAAGGCTTTTCTTTCTTGATGGGTTGCCGTTGTCGCACGAAACTTTGCTGCGCTGCGCCCGCTCAGGCACAGACAACTTTTGCCGCCGTCTCAATTAGCAGATTCTCGGGCTTGATGTCCCTGCAGTGCATGCTGCACA